AATTAATCAGGAAAAGAGGAAGCAGATAAAGAAAAGAAAAGAAAAAAAAAACAGCAATGGAATATACGGGAAAACGTACGACTGGGAAAAATAAAGAAATGTATACGTAAAATCGAGTAAACGGAATAAGAAAAAGTTCAAAGGAAGTGTTTGGACGCAGACAGCGAAGAGCGTTGGTGAGGAGGGAGGAGGAGAGAAGGAGGGGGAGGGGAGGAGGGGAGGAGGGAGAGAAGGAGGGAGGGAGGGGAGAGGAGGAGAGGGGGGGAGGGGAGGGGGGGAGAGAAGGAGGGGAGGAGGGGGAGAGAAGAAGGGGAGGGAGGGGGGAGAGAGGAGCGGGGAGGGGGCGGTCAGAGGGTGTGCGGGGAGAGCAATGACGAGTGGGTGGCCCGACACTCGTCTAATTGTCCGAAACTAATGATGGCCGCCGAGCAGGAAGACGGAACAGCGGGAGACGAGAAAACTACGGAGAAACCGAAGAAAGGGAACCGAGGAGATGGTTAATGAAGGCAGAAGGAGAAGGGGCAAGAATCAGCGACAAAGGAGAGGAGAGATGGAGGTCACGCCAATGATGATGAAATACAGAGACAGATCTTGATACTACGGTTACGATTATAAGCATCATAAGAGTTTCCTGACTGGTATTCATATCATCTTTATCAATGACTTTTTATCAAAACAATAATAAAATATGAAAAGATAACATCTACAGTGACCAAAGGGTTCCATTTATCCCCGCGAGCAAACCAACGATCCCAGAGAACAACAACAGCGGCGAGGAAGACGCGGGGGCAGGCACAAGCACGGCCAGGCAGACGCAGGCCATCATGCGCCGCCCGTCAGCGCCTCATCGAAGCTTCGCGGAAACCCAGCGCCAATCGAGAGGCAGCCGAGACGCGCGCTGAAGATCCTCCTCTTGCCCCGACGACTGGCATTTCCTCCTCGCCCTCGCCACACTTCATCAGGGCCTTTGTGCGGACTTCTCACGCTTACGTGGCGACGAGCGAAGGCCGGTAATGCTCCGATGCTTTATTCCTCGGGCTTGTGATAAACATTTTCCTCGCACGTTTCCTCTCCACTCGGAGGCGGGAGTTATCTGCTCCCGTGACGGCCGCAAGTGGATCGCGAGAAGAAGCGTCAGCTCGATTTCCTCAGGGATGCAAGGAAGACTCGCTAGTCGGATTGATTGCGTTACGTATTATCCGCTGCCGACACCTCGCGCCACCCACCCCCCACCCGCCCACCAGGAGCCCCAAAGATCAGTCGTGACTCACCATCACCCACTCTAGCTCCCCCTCCTCCTCCCCCACGGCCCCTGCCCTCGCTCACACCGCTTTTCACTATGATCACTTATAGCTAACTGGAACCTTCACAAATCAACCAAACAGGAAATTATGAACTCTTTTGTTGCCTCCGCCATCACCTTTGTTTGGTCTGCTTCCGGTTCATAAGCCGTCCCGTCATGTTCAATACATCACCTGGCTGCGGTCGTTGATCATGCTCATATATCATGTTCACCTTCAATGATCGGGATCTGCCTCCATACATCACAGCAATGATTGCCACCACCCGCATCTGATTATCCCCCATCGCCGATTGATAGCGACGATAGAATATAAATCACCGAGGCGGACTCAAGCCCAGGGGCACGCCGGCCCTCGCGCTGGGGCCGCCTCCCATTCGCGCTCTCGCTGGAGCCTCCATCTACACACACACACACACACACACACACACACACACACACACACACACACACACACACACACACACACACACACACACACACATACACGTATACATATATATGTATATCTGTATTTATCTATCTATGTATCTAAATACATCTGTCCCTCCTTTATTCTCTTTCCCTGTCTTTTTCTTGTTTTTCCTTCCTCCGTCTATTTCCGTCTCTTCTGGCTCCTGCTCACCGGCGCTGCCTCTGCTTCCTGTCCGCTTGTGTCATCAGCGCTGGCTCGTCAATATTTCACCCGTTACTACCATGAGATCGGAGCACGTTCCCCATAAAAGCCATTAGACTGTATATTTTTTGTGCGTGTGTTTTTAGCGTAACGCGTTCTTGCACAGTAATGGCGACGTGTGCGGGAAGACCTCTTGTCCGTTGAACTGGTAAGCACAGCAATTATTAACTCATTATTGCCCATATGCAAATGAACTACCATGCCACTGAAGACCGTTTCGGTTGGGTTCATAATAAGATGATGTATGGCAGTAATTAGAGCCTGGCAGGAAGGCTATAATTAGTAGAAAAAATAAGCCTTTTCAGAAACTTGGACAACAACTCACAATTGAACCCTTGACAGGGTTTCCAAAAGGGAGTGCCTCAAAAAAAAAAAAAAAAGTTTACCCGAACGTATCATTCGTCACGTATCGCGTCAGATATTTGTAAACACTAGAGTATAAATTCATTAGCTCGAATTTAATTGCGTATATATAATCACTTACTCGATTTATCCGTTTCAGGACAACGATCAGACACACATACAGAAAAATATTACCATCCAAATTTCAGAAACGAAATAATTCACAGCCAAAGCAAATACACAAACTTCGGAATCGAGACGCTCTGAACTAACCGGGTTGACTCAGTCGCCTCTTCTCTCCCCTCCCCTCCCTCCCCTCTCTCTCTCTTCCTCTCTCCCCCTCTCGCTGTGTCGCGAACATAACCATTAATGGCGGGAAATTCAAATCAGATTACGGGATCGAACAACGACTCGTTAATTGGGAAGAGAGAGGCCTTTGATGACGTGCGTAATCCAGACTAATCGAGCCATTGGTCAACGACAAACTTCTTGCTCCGAATTCAATGGCTCTCTCACACGAGTTTTACCGAGTCACTTTGAGCGCCGAGTTTATCCTTGCGCTTTGTGTTCTTCCTCTGAAAATGTCCTCTTATAATTAGACCGTCATGCGTAACGAAAATTATGAAATACGACATACGAAAGAAGAAAGAAACAAAAAAAGGCAACTTCACATCTCATTTTGAATAATACAGGATCGTAAAATCAATGTTTAAGGTTTCCTCTCAAGCTTACATCTCATAAACCATACAGTTGAAGTACGCGGGTAACCACAGGACGGTAATTATGAAATTTGTTATGTGTACCTTCGAACATGAGCGATACCACATTTTTCTTGTATACAAACACATAGGCAAGGCCGCTACTGTTGTATTAAGGAGTCTTCCAGGTGAGGCCCGGCCGAGAGAAAACGAGCGACGACGGGCGGTAACTCTACCAAAATTATAGCTTTCGGTCAGCATAAATCGGGCATGTGCAAGGAAGTAACTCATGCATTTTCCCAGAATTTAGAATAGGATTCGGGAGCACTTCTAAGGCAAAATCTAATCGGGATCTAAATAGCGAACAGACGTTATTCATTATCAGGCATTACCTGGTAGTTACATTGAATTTCAGAGCATTTCTTTGATCGCTGGGAGCATCAAACGACTTTCTCGAACTATGCTTCACAATCATGGGAATGAAACAGTGGTATTTTGAAGCCTTGCCGACAACCCTGACTCCTTAAATTGCAACATACATTACATGTCATGCAACTTTGGCCCTAATCTATCTTTGTCATAGGGATCGACTCGCGTGCATGTTCAACTGCTGGGTAAAAATTGCAAAGGATGATTTATTTCAGTGTCTTTCGTGAAGTTTACGAGCTGATGTAGCCATGCATTCGGGCTCTGAATATTCATAGGAAGGGCCCATATTGTTTCGTTTTTGCTCAGTGTAGTTGAAATTAGGGGAGTTTAAGTTAGTAGTAGGCTAAAACACGATTTTTTACCCCTCCTCGTAAAAAAAATAACCATAAGACCAAAATAAGTGCGGGAGAAGCTGATCGAAGCAAAGAGCAAAACATATGAAGATCGAATATGGCACAGAGGAACTGTCGGTCATTGTTGCCAAGGCAATAAAAGTTTCGCTGTCACAAGAAATGAATCCTTCATTTAAACTTCGGACTATTTCTCGACGACCGTAAACTGCAAGACGCCATCGCAGCGATGCTTTATCAAGACGGAAAACAAAGACGTGTCTAATACAGAATGTAAACATAAATGAACGTTACATGGCAACACCGAGACTTATTGCTCGGGGTATGTTAATGTAACTTATTTTCCTTCTGCCCTGTAATTTGGGTCATCTGGCGAAGTTTTGGATCGGACAAATGAGTCCACCAAGTTGCAATGACGTAAAAATCTTGCAACAAGCAAGTCTTTAACTCTTTTTTTCAAACATGCGTATCTTTGTTTACGTCTCGTTCAGTGCATGTGTTGCTGTCTGTCTCCGTGTACTCGCCAGTGTCCCTCTCTCGTGCTCGCCTGTGGCCGTGTGATCAGACCCTCGTTTGGTGGTCGTTTTCCTTGTCGTGGAAACTCGTCAAAGTTGTCCCACGGCCGGTTTACAATGAAAGCTATTCAGACATTGTAGAACACTTCCTCTTCTCACATGCGATAAAAGAATAAGAGTGGCAACATAGTCTTTATGTTATCCTAACCATAAATCGTGTAATAAAGTTAATTCTAACACTATATATAAATGTTCCGATTTAGCCTACCAAACCCCTAGGCACCCCTAAGAATCCATATAAAAGCTCTCAAATAACGCCTATAAACCCACACTTAAATTGTCCTATGAGTCCCTCACATACCCATAAAAACCCAAATAACAACCCCCTTCACCCCCCCCTTTCCCCCCTTTCCCCCTCCTTCTCTGCTTCTTGCGTTCTCCGAGCTCTTTCTAGCCTGCGTGTCGTCCACCCACACCAAGGGAACATTAACAACTTTAAGAGGATAAAACGGGATTCATCCATCACTCGATTCGAAGATTCGTAGCCGGCAAGATGGCAGTCACGCTCCTTAGAATGGAAGGATGCCAGGAGATAGGCTTCCAAGTGGCCCGTCTGTGCGCTTTCGTCCGCAATCGTCTTAATTGTGACATAAAAGACATAGCTTATATTACCCAGTTCCCGTGTTTTATGAGACAAAAAAGTCGAGCTCAAAAGCATCAAGAACCAACTCGAGTCTTCTCGGTACTCACCTTTCTTGGGGATGAGAGACTTGAGGAGGTAGACGGCGTTGTCGTCGGTGGCCCAAGCGTGCATCTTGCGGTAAGAGTCGCGGCCTTTCTCCGTCAGTTTGTCCCAACTCTTTGGCTTGGACAGGAGCTCCGAGACGGTGCCCTAGGGGTGGAGGGAGGCACGGAGGGGAGTCACATAAGTGTAAGATAGTGGCAGGCAATGAGGAAGAAAATGTATTGGATGAGAGAAGGATGGGGAAAATTAGGGTACAGCAAAATTAGGGTTGTGTGAAGGAAGTCATTGCAGGTCAAAATGGAAGTTATAGGAAAGATACAGGAAAGGTTTATTGTGCATACAGGTAGGGGCGCAATCCAAAGAACTAAATGGTATAACATGATTATGATTAGAATCAATTATCATTCGTTTTGCAGATTACATAGCGAACTGGAGGAAATGAATCATAAAGGGACAAGACAACAAAATGCTCCCTCCATAATTGAACACGTAGTAAAAAATCCAAGTTACACACATCTGCTGCAACCAAGAATCCAACCCCGTCAAAGGAAGTTAATTATGACAACCTAAACCCGTCAAAGGGAATCAAGTCCGACCGGTCCGGCCGCGCTCACCTGCGAGAGCCCCAGGATATATTTTGCGAAGAGTCGCTGTCCGATGTTGTGAATGGAGAGGAGTTCCCGCACTCGCCGGGCCAGGCACAGGGTGTCCAGGCTTTGTTGACAGAACTTCTCCATGTTGAACCTTCGGGTAGACAGGCAGACGGGCGGTTATGGCGACGTGTTTGTTGTGGGCGCTGGGTGTATTGTTACAAAATTCGCGCGCACATGCACACGCGCGTGGGCATATACAAATGTATATAATATATATATATATATATATATATATATATATATATATATATATATATATATATATATATGTATGTATGTATGTATGTATGTATGTGTGCATATATATATATGTATATATATATTTGTGTGTGTTGTGTGTGTGTGTGTGTGTGTGTGTGTGTGTGTGTGTGTGTGTGTGTGTGTGTGTGTGTGTGTGTGTGTGTGTGTGTGTGTGAATAAAAACAGGTAAAGAGATAGATATATTACATAACCAAAGAGTCCTACCTTAGAATTTCCTGAAGCCTAGCTTCCATGGGATCTCCCTTCGGAATGAGTGATTCTCCAGTGATCCGGTCCTCGAACTTGAAGGCCATCGAGGGCATCTCGTCCTTGAAGGGTGACCGGTCGTCCCTGGGCTGGAAGGGGCTCTTCGTCTCGTGGGGGAAGCCGTTGGCCATCGAGCTCGGGCTCTTCATGCTCACGTCGCCGATGGGCGATTCCCTCGAGTCGGACCGCTCGACGGGCCCTCCGCCGCTGTCGGGCGACATTTGACCTGCGGGGACACGGCGTCAGTCCTCGTGCGCGCAGAAGGGCTAGAATTAGCCCGTTCCTTCTACGTCATGAAAGGGATTCCGAGAAAGGCAAACGCACGGGCCGGGCGGCGCAACGTACCTGAGTTGAGGTGATGGCGATCTAGCGCGGACCTTTCGAGCGACCTCCGCCACTCCTCCCCCAGGAGGTGGTGCAGCGGCGTGCCCGGCGGAGGGTGCGGGGCCAGCGGCTGGAGAGGGGATGCCATGGGCGGAGGTGCCAGCGGCGGCGGTAGGTGAGGCCGAAGAGGTGGGTGGAGGTGCGAGTGGCTCATGGGTGGAAGAGGACCTAGAATGGAGAGGGAATGACCATTAACTGCCGGCGCTGAGGAGCCACCTGGCGGAGGCAACGAGTGACCGCCTCCTGGCCAGGCGCTGAAGGTCTGTGGATTTTACCGTGTCATTTCCTTCCATAAAATTTTGTTTACAACCCCAACAGAGCAGATATGATATAACAATTACTGGTGCTTTAGTTTTGTGGTCAGACCATTGGAAAGGATTCTCAAATGTATGTCATATTCTTCAATATACTCAGAGCCATAAATTACATATTTATGATCTTAAATTAATAAGTGGGAAACATTAGAGCGTTTTAGTATTGCCAATGACTGGGGCGAAAATAATTGAAGCGATTCATTTGCCTTAACATGTGGTCAAGCGGCTGCATCTACCTTATCACCACATTTCCCCAAAATGAACAACAATCAAGCAAAAAACATCGAATTCAACACGTTTGGGAAACAAAGAAATAAAATCTGCAACTCATAGTCATCCCTTTAGAACATCCATCGCAATTGAAGAATAAAAGCGCGAAACAGAGAACCAAACCATCCACGAAATAAACATTCCACCGAAAGGGAGAGAGACCTGAGGTTGACCACTTACCATAGACATCGTGAAACTGCTTACCGAACTCCGAGGTGGGAATCTTATCGTGTTCGGACTTCGACCTGTCCACCAGCAGACTCTCCAAGGACCTGGGTGGTAGACTGAGGCCTTCGGGCACCATCCGACCTTCTCGTATGCTCCTGGGGGGAGAAGAAAAAGATTCGTTAGTCCTGCGGATTGTCACACGAGGGATGCAATTCACATATAAATATATTGATAAATAATCCTAATCTAAGCTCTGGTCCAAACTGACATAACGTAAACGCACATCTAACAAGAGCAAGGGATTTAACGACACACTTTATTTCCAAATTTAAATACAACTCATTCGCTCTGGCCTGGCATCTCACTGGACAACCCTTTCACCCCTCGCTCCCGCTCGCCCCTCTACAACTGCCTTTCTCGCCCTCTGCCGGCCACTCAGGAGGTCCTGCTTAATATTCAGAGAGCTGGCCAGGTCCATCAGGAACCCATTGATGCGAGACGCTACTGGTGTTGGGTAAACAGGGCCTTCTACACAATACAACCCGCGAATCATTGTCCTTGATCGGCGTATAACAAAGGGGGAAATGGAGGCGGCCGGGTGGGGGTCGCCGGATTGAGAGGTCCGCACGTCTCCGCTCTTCGTTTTAGAAGGAGTCTTAGCTCAGCTCTCCGCAGGATTCGAGCTATGCCATCTCTACTGCTGAAGGTATGAAGACAAGTGACTTTCCTTCTCTTTGCTCAGAAACTACCATCTTGATGGACACCTTTAATGACAAAACGCAATCCCTGAGAAGCCCCTCGCTGAATGGAAACGATCGTCCGTCTGATTCGAATTAACGCCAATGACTTGCACGATGGGACTCTTTTGTGAGCACCTCTCTAAGGCTATTGGCCATTCCTCATTGACGGAAGCTCACGCCTATAATTTTGCAATCAATAGAGCGCCCATTAAGCAATAGATCAACAGTCATGCATCTGCAGGGCCGAGGCAGCGGTCCACGTGGGCCTTTGTCGGGGTTTCATCAAGGCTATCAATAAGAAGCCCGAGCAGATCAGACCGGCGGTGCGCGCGGCGGCCGAAAAAACGCTGTTCTTTACCGCCTCGTCCTATTAATCAAAGCGTTTTTGGGGCTCGCAGCGAACAGCGAATCCCGGGGCTTTTTTGCGTCGCTTGGGAGGAGATTCAGGAACTCCTTCGTTGAAATTATATTTGCTGCGACATTTCAGCATTACATAGAGAAATAATTAGATTGACAGATATATAGACAGAGAGAGAGAGAGAGAGAGAGAATGGGTGAGTGAGTGAGTGAGTGAGTGAATGAGGCAGAGATCGAAAGAGAAACAAAGATAAACAGAAAAGAGACAGAAAAAAACAGCTCGACAGACAGCCACAGCTGATAGTAGCTTATCATAACATTCCTCCTCCTTCAATATATCTTTCGGTCCGCAGTTTGCATTTCAATATGCAAAGTGAACGCTGAACCAGAATGCTTGACGGTAACGATTAAGCCATCACGATTATTTGCGAACAAACTCTTCGTTGTGTTCCACGTAAAAAAATATCTTTTGATGATCATAGTGCGTTCATTTTAATCTACGGTAAACTCGTATTTAATGGCGTAATTCAAATTCAGTTACAACGGTGACAATAAAGAGTAACTTTAATGTCAGAACACGTGTATATCGCTTTGACTAACGGGCATACTTAGGGGAGAAACTGCAGTTAAAAGATTGGTTTTGTTCGTGCTGCTCGTATCACATAAACATTGATGGATATGATACAGTAAATCTAGCAAAAAAGGGTTGACAGAGAGAGAGAGAGAGAGAGAGAGAGAGAGAGAGAGAGAGAGAGAGAGAGAGAGAGAGAGAGAGAGAGAGAGAGAGAGAGAGAGAGAGAGAGAGAGAGAGAGGAGAGATCACCACACACAAAAAAAGGGAGAAAAAAATCAACACAATGCAACTAATGGCTACCCTGCACGAACCACATGATTTTATAATATATTTTTTTCCAAAGGTAAGGAAATCGAAAATGAGTATCAGTCGGAGCGCAACGGCCTAGACGAAGGGCAACTCCGCGGACAATAGGTCTTGATAATGACATTGACGAATCACAAATCTTTTCCGTTATTGCTCACATCCTTGGTTTTGACGATTGAAATCCACCTTCCGCCGCCTGACTTCCTTGCTATAATTAGATTTTGAGGCTTTATAGTTCAAGCAAAGTTGTCGATTTCGCATTGTGTGTGTGTAGCTATACCTATGTATCTCTCTCTCTCTCTCTCTCTCTCTCTCTCTCTCTCTCTCTCTCTCTCTCTCTCTCTCTCTCTCTCTCTCTCCTCTCTCTCTCTCTCTCTCTCACACACACACACACCACACACACACACACACACACACACACACACACACACACACACACACACACACACACACACACACACACACACACACACATATATATATATTATGCATACAGTAGATCAACACAAGTATTTAGGAATGCGCTCGGGTTTATGCCCGTTTTTAATTCTACTTTTTTATTTTTATCTAAGTATTTACTTAGCAGTGATCCTATCTGTACAGCAAATGTTTGTTTTGCATTTGAACGCGCTTGTGTCTATGACATGACACGTGAAACAAAGGCGCTGCAAGAACCCGCCCAGCTCGTCTCTCATAGCGCTACTTGGAAGCAATCGGATAGCTTTGATTGGCTCGTGTATCTGAGTGCAGCGGCGGCGGTAAGGCGATCGGATCCGCCGTGTTGTCTTTTGTTCGCCTATTACTGCCTCGGCGTCTATTGTGCCAACAGAGCCCTGTACGAACGGGCTCAAATTGGCGGGAAAACGTTTTCTATCTTTTTATATCCTCCAAACCTTCCGTTTCTCTGGTATTCATAAATGCGCCAGACTTCCCTTGTAGAATATTGAAATGTCATCACAGGTATTATCCAGCATTCCGTGACATAAACGTTGAAATTTAATGGATCTAAACAATATGAAAATGAGCTAATGCAACAAGTAAAGCCTGGCCTCTGAATCAATGATCATATGTTAATGCAAGACACGACACACGAAACGGACTATAGCACTTTAATTCAATTTTCTCTCACGCAACTCTCACTCTCTCTGTGTGTCTGTCTGTGTATCTATCTGTATCTGTATCTGTCTCTCTGTCTCTCTCTCTTTCTTTCTCTCTCTCTCTCTCTCTTGATATCCATCTTCCCTTTTATAAGTATTCTTTTATAAGTATTATCGCCTCGTTTTTTCCTTATTTTCACAGTCAAATTTGTTTTTTTCTTTCCATCCAAAATTCTTCTCACCATCAATTTTCACCATTAATATTTTCCTCGTGTTTCTTAAGCCCTTCCTCCCACTGCGACACATAGCTCTAAGTCGCCAATGAGGACGAGAGCGACACGCACTTTCGTGATGGTGCTGATGGTGGCTGTGAGGATGATAATGATGGATAGATGTCTCGTGACGTATCGGCGGCCCGATTTTATTGTAATCCTGTCAGTAGCTGTGGCGATGATGACGGGGGCACTGGTGGCCGATTTGGGGATGGAACGGCAGTGCTACTGTGTGTGTGTGTGTTGGTGTGTGTGTGTGTGTGTGTGTGTGTGTGTGTGTGTGTGTGTGTGTGTGTGTGTGTGTGTGGTGTGTGTGTGTGTGTGTGTGTGTGTGTGTGTGTGTGTGTGTGTGTGTGTGTGTGTGTGTGTGTGTGTGTGTGTGTGTGTGTGTGTGTGTGTGTGTGTGTGTGTGTGTGTGGTTGTGTGTGTGTGTGTGTGTGTGTGTGTGTGTGTGTGTGTGTGTGTGTGTGTGTGTGTGTGTGTGTGTGTGTGTGTGTGTGTGTGTGTGTGTGTGGTTGTGTGTGTGGTGTGGTTGTGTGTGTGTGTGTGTGTGTGTGTGTGTGTGTGTGTGTGTGTGTGTGTGTGTGTGTGTGTGTGTGTGTGTGTGTGTGTGTGTGTGTGTGTGTGTGTGTGTGTGTGTGTGTGTGTGTGTGTGTGTGTGTGTGTGTGTGTGTGTGTGTGAGTGTGTGTGTGTGTGTGTGTGTGTGTGTGGTGTGTGTGTGTGTGTGTGTGTGTGTGTGTGTGTGTGTGTGTGTGTGTGTGTGTGTGTGTGTGTGTTGTGTGTGTGTGTGTGTGTGTGTGTGTGTGTGTGTGTGTGTGTGTGTGTGTGTGTGTGTGTGTGTGTGTGTGTGTGTGTGTGTGTGTGTGTGTGTGTGTGTGTGTGTGTGTGTGTGTGTGTGTGTGTGTGTGTGTGTGTGTGTGTGTGTGTGTGTGTGTGTGTGTGTGTGTGTGTGTGTGTGTGTGTGTGTGTGTGTGTGTGTGTGTGTGTGTGTGTGTGTGTGTGTATGTGTGTGTGTGCGCGTGTGAAGGGGTGCTGCTGTCCAGACTCCTGTGAGCGCCTCGAGGTGACTGAGCACCGGCGGAGACAGCCCCACGGCGTCGCAGAGGACTGAACCCCGAGTAGACGACAGGTAACCCGTAATCTCCGCCCCCTCATACCGTCCCGCGATGCCCTCCCCGGCCCGTCATCAACTCCCACGCGATCAGGCGGCAGAATGCGCGATTGGGACTGGCTACTCGCGATTGGAGGCTGATTGGGCGAATGGTTTGATCTGCTGATTGGGCGGATGTGGTGATAGGCTCAGGACGCATTCTGATTGGCGGTGGTAATGGCTGTTGTGATTTGCGGTTGTCAACTGCGGTTACGCCACTCTAACGACGGTGTTTACGCTGTTCGGATGATACTTGTGCTACTCAGGCCGAAGTTATTGGCTCTGAATTCGGTCGCAGAGGAGGCAAGGGAAGTAACGCCGTTGGGAGGAAGAGTAAGTGCGAGGATATTTCTGGAAAATATATCTTGTATCTTTATCTGTTACTGTTCTGGCATCGCAATCCTTAGGTCAGCGTTTGCATTTGCAATTCAAGCATGTTGCTAATCGAGAGGGTTGCTATGCTCGCCACCCAGCGCCTCGCACGCCCCAGCACGCGCATTATCCTCGCACCTTTATCAGATCGTCGAGACAAAAAGAGAGAGAGAGAAAAAAAATCGGCTCTTCAGTTCAAATCCAAACAAACACTCCGTCCACCCAGCGGCCGCGGGCGTCGCCACACCAGGAATCCCAAAAATCCTCTCGAGGCGTCACG